CAGCAGCAGCAGCAGCAGCAGCAGCAGCAGCAGCAGCAGCAGCAGCTAAGTACTTCAAATTGCTCTAACCTTATTGCTTTGCATTTCTGAGCCCGGCAACAGATTATATCTTAATTCTAAAACAGATTTCCACCCCGTCTTAAGATCTTATCTTTATGGCAAACGATGACTTGATTTTGCTTCTGCTGGCGTTACCCAGCTGAGTGCTGACTTCACCAAAGCTGTTGGTGTGATCTGTTTTTAATAATCCTCCTGCAGACTTGTCCTGTCTTTATTTACCACTTTGCACCTGTGTAGACCTCTCTATTGTTTTCTAGCTACAAATGTCGACGGTTAAGCTCCAATCCCACGGCGACAACCTGGCTTCTCGTAAAAAGACAGACGCCCCCATGGTAAGAGTTATAACTCCATAGAATTGTTCTTTGAGATGTGTCTTCTCAGTTTAGCCCCTCTGGATTGCAGATCCAGCTTTGCGGAACTTTTTGAGATCAGCCAAGGGGTTCACGGCGACCGTGTTGCATTAATTGAATTGTTAGGTTCTTTCATCGGGGGGAAACAGAGAGGGGAGTTTGGAAGGACAGTTGATTTATGCTTTTGGGGGAGGCTTGTGAAAGCTGGACCCAAGGCAATCTCAGGCCGGGCAACATTTTGTATGCCGTATCCAAAAGGCAGTTCGGCCTACGGAGGTCTGCAGTGCTTTAAAGCAGCTGCTTCTTTTTCCAGAGCAGCTGCATAAACCCAGGATGGTGATTTTAAAGCAGTGTTTGAAAAACTCTGTTTTAAAGCATTGCCAGTAGATGTCAGATTTATGCCCACGTGGGCTCCAAAGCTTATTTTGGCAATTGAATTCAGAGCACTCCACAGCTCTGTCCCCACCATGCTTGGTGGCCTTCCTGATTGTGTGAAAATGCCCTGCAAATCACAGAATCAGGTTTATTTAGCCTCTTGTCGGCTGCCGTGTGGCTGGCTTGATCACTCTCCCTGATCTTGAAGCTTGTGCTAGTAACTGAGGTGTGTCTTTTGTTTTTCCTGGGGCCTCTGTTCTTCTCCAACAACACTACAATCCTCTAATCTGAGAGCCCAGAAATGAAAGCTTTGCAAGAAAAATTATCAGCTGCCAATCTCAAAGTGTCTGAATATCGCAACCAGCTCCAGGCCACAAAGCAGGAGCTCAAGATGACGTACAAGGTAGGGGGTCTGTGTGCGATCTGGCCAACGGTGGCCTGGAGGAATCATTTTCATACACCGTTTCCCGTTAAGCAAGCTTTGTTTATCCTTTTAAATTTGCTTTGTTTATCCCATTATCCTTTTTTTATCCCGTTAAGCAATCTTGTTTATCCTTTTAAATTTGCTTGGCATGTATACGATACTCCAGAAGGTGAATAAATAGAAGATCTCTCCATGCACAGAATGTCTTCACCCAACTGGGTTATTGCAATTTTCTCCCCAGATCGAGTTTCAAACAGATAAACATTTATTTATAATCAAACTCCCCCAGGTTGGGGTCCCATCACCATCTCAATTTCAAAAAGAACAATTAAACAGCAGTTAACATTACCGTTGGGGTCCCATCACCATCTCAATTTCAAAAAGAACAATTAAACAGCAGTTAACATTACCGTTGGGGTCCCATCACCATCTCAATTTCAAAAAGAACAATTAAACAGCAGTTAACATTACCCCAGAGCAATGCAACCGAGGATGTACAGTATTTACAGTCCAAGTAAAAGCACACTGACACAGCTAGGAAACCCCTAATCTATAAACCCAATACCCCTGTCCTCTAACTTTGCCCATAAGATTGACAGCAAAACAGCCCTGTCTTCTAGCTTCACCGACTGCCATTCTCAAACTACCATCTAACTATGCTAACCTTGTTGGCTAATTTGACTATGCTTTCAACTCTGAAGAAAATGATAGTCCTGGGGTGTTTTCAGCGAGGGATGTGTTCTTACTAGTGGAATCCCAGGGCAGCAATGCCCTGGAGAGTGGGTGGGAGGGTGGGTTGGGGGCTGGCTGTCAAAAACAGGCCCAACACAGAGGGGAGGAGAGGGGCTCACCACCATCTGACCCTTCTTGACACCCCCCGCCCCATGGCTGCCGCTGCTCCCCCAGAAAACGTCCCGAAGGATTTTACCATGTCAGCAGACAGGACCGTCCTGCACATATTCCCTTCATGTGATAAAATATTGAATAGAAAAGAGGCAAGTCCATGACTGGAGAGCCCCAGTTTAATTAGGATCTCATTTTAGGTCCTCCTGAAGTATGGGGAGATGGATCTGGGTATCTGCCTGGCTAAAAGAGATTTAAGCGGAGCGTTTTCAGACCTTCGGTACCAATACTTGCATTGATTTGGGTCTGTTGACATATCATTTTCAGCTTATAGCAAATGAAGTGGGAGAAGACATCAACGTTCAAGGTCTTTTGTCTACCCCAGGCAGCTGGCGGGGACGGGCCCAGCAAATTCTCGTCCTGCAAGGCAAAGTGAGTCAACCGTCATCCTTTCAAATGTGTTTGGCTTCGCAGGTTGTGCTAAGGAAGTGTTGGTTTAAACCAGTGTTTCTTAACCTTAGCAACTTCTTAA